TTCCTGGGACCAAACGCAAAGCCACCTGCGATTACTACGTCATCGCGGCGTTTTTATCACCATATCCAGTCTGGGGGTTCGTATTAATGATTTCTATTCAATAATGGTGAAGGCAACGTCATGATTACTCTCTCTGTCCTGTTAGTGGTAGGATTTAGGTTACTGTTCCGTTTAATGTAAGAAAACGGATATGTTCACCTTTCGGGAATTTGGCGCAAGACCATCCGCTGTGCATGAAGGGGACGCCCCTATTCTCGTGTTTTGCCGCGGTAACCATAAAAAAAGGTCCCACTGACTTAGTGGAATAACGTAAATGATCAAACGGTATCTCGTAAGATGTCCTTACGGACATCGGAAAAATAATATATCTTTGTTCGAGCAATGAAAAAGGGGATTTTAAGTCGTGTTTAGATGCTACACGTAGAAGCGAGAGCGTTTTATCATCGTAATTGATGACGTCCACCGTGTGACCCACAGCAGCGCGGGAGCAGGGATGGTGACTTGCGCCTATGTCAGTTAAAAGTGATTTCTACTCAATAATCGTCAAGGTAGCATTGTAATTACTCTCTCTGTCCTGTTAGTGGTAAGATTAAGGTTACTGTTACGTTTAATTTAAAAGGATATGTTCACCTTTCGGGAATTTGGCGCATAACCACCCGCTGTGGATAAGGGGACGCCCCTACTGTCGCGTTTTGCCGCGATGACCATAAAAAAGATCCCACTGACTTAGTGAAATAAAGTGAATGACCGTGAAGCAGGATTAACCGTCTGTGCACCAAACTCTATCTCAAAAGATGTCTTTTCAGACGGCAGAACAATAATACGTCGTTGTACGCGTAATGAAAAAGAGAATCTTATGTCGCGTTTAGAGGCTTCACTTAGTAGCCCGACAGTTTGATCGTCTTAACCGAGTGACCCGCAGCAGCGCGGGAGCAGGGAAGATGACTTGCGTCTAGGTTTGTTTAAAGTGGCTGTGGACTTGCGCAGAATCTACCGCACACTCCCCTTCTCCTTCTCCTCCCATACCTGGCCACGTTAGCAAGACAGAGCTCTCATTCTAACTGTACCAGGATGAGCATTATGAAGGTCTCTGAGGATGGCCCGTCGGCCTTGTGGTGGCCCAACTACACGATTGCCCCATAAGATGCGTCAGTCTTGTAGACCTAACTGGTTCAGACGGCTGAAGAATGGATGAAAATCAGAAGAGGTAAAGGACGGCGAGCCAGATCTTAAGGCCCTTTTTTTCCTGACTTAGAAAAGGGTCTTTCGATGTCCACTGTCGAATTGGTTGACAGGTTACAGGTGCGTTTACTAGATTCTGCAAAGTATTCACGGTCTCAAAAACAGGTACCCCGTTAATGCCACTGACATACAAGCACATGTCGATCAGAAATATTGGGGGCTGACTTGAATATCCACTGCAACGTTTGACTTTTCCCCATCCACTTGTCAAGGTATCAGTCAGGTAGCTTAAATTTTCGACATGAACTCTTTCCTCGCACGTCATCCCTTCACAACGCATTAGAATGACACAGATGTTGTTGTTTAAAGTTAGTCGTTTTGTTTTAGCTAAACGCGTCTTAAAAGCTAGATTCGAAATGAGGAGATTCAGATTTGCACAACAAAGTCACTCCAAGAAGGCTGCTACAATTTGAACAACCTTTCGCAGATAGAAAACCAAAATCTCTCGCCGACCGTAAAGAAACCACTTTATATTTCCAGTGTTATTCAGCATAGACAGATCGGTAGCTTTTTTCAGAAGAACAAGAAAATCAACGTATTTTCAATTGCATGCTTAAAGCTCTGAAGAACGGCTGTCAATGATGTCGGTGTGTCCTTTCACTGTGAGGGAAATAGTTGTCTAAAAAAGAATGGGAAACAAAAAGTTATCCTAACTCATACGTATTATTGACGGTGTTAGAGCACTTAATTCGTGCGGGGTCATCGTATCATCTGTCGCTTGCAAACAGGGAGGATGCTTTACGGAAAGCTTACATGCTTGTTGCGAATATGACTTCATTATTCGATTAAAAAGAGAAATTTGTCATGTTCAAGCTATTAATTATGACTTTGAATGTTAACGACAAGGTTAAGGTTAAAGAAAAGCAACCTAACACAGAAGTCGTATATGCCCAAATATACTCGGAAATATCATGCCTTATGGATAAAACAGAATGGGAAAAGGACTGCGTAAAGGATCTGATGCTCAAAAAATTTCAGTATAAGCGAGTATGCTGACTTTACAAATATCACCTTCTTGCGCCTTCCATACCAGTTTAAGCCGACAAGTACAGTACCTGTGCAAACTCATAAAATTCGGAGGTCAAAATTATAGTGGAAAATGTAGCGTATTTTTGGTGTTGTTATTTGTGTTTATTTAGTTGAAATAAGGAAAAAAAGGTCGTTTGCTGAAGGAAAGTTTGATACGGATCTGTATATTAGTAAGAAAACGGGCAGAATTTGGGCGAAATCGGAGGATTCCTGATATTCAAGCATATTCCTACGCTATTAAATATTTTGGGTCGAAATTCTTTGTTTCACCTTATTACTTTGTTTAAGAAGATTAATAAAAGGAAGAAATTTTTCAAAAAGCTTTCGTACAAAAAGAAGAAAATTAAATTTCAATATCGAGAAAAATCAGGGAAATGCGGATAAATTATATCTTATTTTGTTCAGGAAATAAGATGTCATTCGTCATCTAAAAATATTATTTTATAAATCCGTAAACTTTTATGTTTCAAAATACCGAAATAAAAAAGTTTATCAGTTTAATTGTTTTACCAGACCCAAAATGCGTATCGTAAACGAATATATATTGAGTTCGCGCGACATGCCGTCACTTTTCTCTATCACGCCAAACGATACCCATGTCTAAAGAATACCTCTCCGATGTTGACTTCCAGCGTATTCGAAAATTGGCGACGGAGAGAATCCCGCGTGAGTCGTTAGCTAGTATTTTCAATATTAGTAAGGTCACTCTGTGGCGCATTATTAATGATAAAACTGTTCCTAGAAATAAGATAGGGGGACCCAAACGGTCCACAAGCAAGACGACGATTGTATTCGTCGTACATTAAAAAAGTTTCATTACATGCCCATTGAGACCATTCAACGGGAACATCTGCCGATGTTTTCTATGAACATCATTAGGAAAAGGATGAAGGAACTTGAACTGCGGTGGCGAAAGGCCACGATTAAGCCATTTTTAAGTAGAAAACTAATTAGAGAACTGCTTTTATTTGCTAAGAATTATATTGATTTCAGATCTTCATTTTGGAAGAGCATTTTCTTCTGCGATGAGGTTTTATTTTAAGACAAGCCTACGAAATCGCTCCAAACCGTCATATGTGGAAAGAACTTCCCAAGAGAACGCACTACACCGACGGCAACATTCAAGAACTGTCGGCAGATAATGGTTTGGATGGCGATTAAATTCGGTGAGCGGCCTGTCTGGCGGTCAACATCCGACACCATCAACAGCAAGGTGTTTATTGCAATTTTCAAGGATGCTTTTGGCTACAATGGCATAAGTCGGCGCCAAATGGATACTGTAATTTTGCACGACAATGCACCTGTCCACCGCTCTAAAGAGGTACGAATTTGATGCCGCTTGCAAATATAATCAAACATTTTAGACAACAACCACCCTTTCAGCAATTGGCCTCCAAACCATTTTCATCCCGGCCAACAGTCTTGATTTGAATCCTATCGAAAATCTTTTTGGAGTAGTCAAAAGAAATAGGCACAAAGCTAAGAATACTCTTTCAATGCAGGAAAAATTGGATTTTATACTTAAGAATAACATTTTACAATCCACAATAGATAACCTCGTCATGTCTATGTCCGACAGACTTTCTGCCGTTATTAATTCAAAAGGAAAATCAACAAAGTACTGATTTTTTGTATCTGTTTCTGTCCTTAATTATTTTTGCCCTTTTATGCGCCCTCCTCCTTTATACGACCTCATACGTAGCCTTTATTAGCTTGGTTGTAATATAGGCGTTTCTCGAAAATGTGACTTTCGTCGAAAATTATTTATTTTTATCTCAGTAAATAATATTTTCTAAACCAAACTTTGCTTTATTTCTTTGACACGTCTTTTGTTTTCCGCTATTAGACTTTGGGAGCCGTAGTGTTTACCAATTCTACGTTAAAGTCGTTTACCTGTGTAAATTCATGACAATTCATGAGTTAACGCAGGTATTGTAACTTTGCCACAGACGGAGGTGCGCTTATACGCCATTCTCCTTTGCGTCAGTATCAGTTTGCTACAATGTCTGCATTTTTGATTGCCTGAGATGCGACTGGCAGAGGCGAAAATGTATTTCGACTGAGCTTGCCAACTTAAACGCTACAGAGATAAACGTTTTAATAAGGGCGCAACATGACAGCGCTCAATTTCTCTTGGTGTTAAGATTATCTTTTGCGATGGGCGGACTTGTGGCGTCAAAATAATCTTTTCTATTAGGAATTTACCCTAGTACATGTCACCTGCATCGAAGGCTCTTCGCATTACACATATTATCCGAGAGTATACCCACCGTCGTTGTTCATTTTTAGCCGAATGCTTGTTAGGTAAATCCATTGCTTCCACCACCAAATTAATAGCTCCAAAATATAGGGGGCAAGCGAATATCGTTTCTTATAGCCCATACAAAAAACCTTTACATCGATAATTCAACAGGGGATGTAAATAACCAACTCTAGACGCGGTTGTTGCACCCAGTCTAGGTGCATTTTAAGAGAGGTTAAACGGTCGCTGGAACAAGAACATTCTTCGCTTGACACGCTTCCCAGAGTTTACTTTGACCTCTGCGTATGCATTCAGATTTGCGCAACTGGAAGACTGTTACAATTTGAACAACCTTTCGTAGATAGAAAACCAAAATCTCTCGCCGGCCGTAAAGAAACCATTTTATATTTCCAGTGTTATTCAGCATAGCCAGATCGGTAGCTTTTTTCAGAAGAACAAGAAAATCAACGTATTTTCAATTGCATGCTTAAAGCTCGGAAGAACGGCTGTCAATGATGTCGGTGTGTCCTTTCACTGTGAGGGAAATAGTTGTCTAAAAAGAGTGGAAAACAAAAGGTTATCCTAACTCTTACGTATCATTGACGGTGTTAGAGCACTTAATTCGTGCGGGGTCATCGTATCATCTGTCGCTTGCAAACATGGAGGATGCTTTACGGGAAGCTTACATGCTAGTTGCAAATATGACTTTATTATTCGGTTAAAACGAGAGATTTGTCTTGTCCAAACTTTTAAATATGTCTTTGAATGTGAACGACAGGGTTAACGTTAAAGAAAAACATCCTAAAACAGAAGTCGTATGTGCCCAAATATACTCTTAAATATCGTGCCTCATGGATAAAACAGAATGGGAAAAGGACTGCATAATTGACATAATGCTCATTTAAAGCACAAATATGGGCGAGGCTTGGCTCCGTAGCTGCACTTTATTGATACCGTGTGGTTAGCTTTCCAAAAAAATTTTAGTATATGCGAGTATGCTGACCTTACAAATATCGCGTGTTTGCGCCCTCCTTACCACTTTAAGCTGACAAGTAACTTTACCACAAAGGGTGGTGCGCTCATACGTCATCCTCCTTTACATCAGTTAATCAGTCATATGCGCTTCTCTGTCAGAGCCTTAAGCCCAGCCTGCGCCTTCTTTATTATCTTAATCCAGTTTGTGGCTAAGAAGGCTTGCTAATGGCATTGTTCGAACGGGATGGAACTCTGTCAGTTCCACTAGAGCGGTCATGCATTGCGAATTAACACGCGGTTCCCTCTAAGGCTTTTCACTTGTGATTGCGCCCTCCTTACCCTACTAATTCAGGGGGTGGCTGTGTCGGGAGAGGAGAATGTGTACACGCCACCTTCACGCGCTTCCCTGCAGTGCGCTCCGAGCTCTGCTTACGCCCTCTTTCCCTTCCTGATTCAACGAATAGCTAAGTTAGGTATGTTAAATAATACTCTTTATTAAGCTAAACATATGGTATCAATCAAGTGGGGCTCCAGAACCAAACCTCCGACATATATGTTTTAAATATCGAAATATTCTCAGACAGGGTGATAATACCCCATCTTTTCGATACACTGGCACTAAGTAACGGTGAGTAAAAACGACGAAAAGTTATTTAGAAGACTATACAATTCCCATTAATTCCGCAAACGTTTGACTGCTAATCACGTTTAGTCAGAAAAAGACAGAGAAAAATAAAAATATCGCCTTATGCGCAAAGTTATCGCAGTATCGTCAACTATACAGCAGATGTGTCAATTTATAAAATGTTGGCCGAAATTTTAAATATATATTCGACTCGGATAGATGACTTAAGTAGGGCTTTAATATTAATCACCAAGCAGCGCAATCTTAAAATGATGCGGTTACCTCATGATAGCAAAGTTCAAAAGAACTTCGTTTAGACGGCCTGAAAATACTTTACTTCGTAAAAAATGTTTATTTTAAAAGCACGACCTTTATCGATTCTCGGTGCTCTCGTATATTCGGACATATTTCATAAAGAACATGCATAAAAATAGTATCTCCTTTACCCAGTGAGAAGGGGATTACGTATTTTTCATAATTTATACTTGGACTTGCAGACTTTGTTCAACCACCAAACGATTTAAGTCGGAAGAAGAAATAGGAAAATCAAAAATATCGCCTTTTCGTGATGATACGTATTTCATGTCGTTTATAATTTCGGATAAACCCAAAAATTTCAGATCGTTAGTATCTGAGATTAACGAGTGACGGGAAATTAACCTGCTCCCATGCGTATTTGCTGCACTGGTAAAGACCGCTCTGATTGCCATCGAATGTTTGTTGAATTTCTCACCCGAAACGGTTCATCGACTGTGAGTAATTTGAATTACCACATTTTCGACTCGTTATCTACAACTTCAATGAAATCTAACTCAAATGCCATATGGGTTTGTCGAATGAATTGTGAAATACGTCGGAACAACATTACCTGGTACCTAAAACAACTGTCTATCAAATTGCTCTGAAATTCTGATGGTAATCCAGCCATGGGAATGACTGTTATTTTTGCTCATTTAAGTACAATTGTCAAACGATGAAGTAAGGCTGTTTAAATCGAACGAGTAACGGGAACGAAAAATTACCTCATTTTTGACTCGCAAAACAGGGTTACTGGAGTATGAAAGATCCTCTTGAAAGACAGTTATAATCATAGTGCACAAACACGAAAGGCCACGCTAATGAAACATCTTGTAATTGTTTTCTTAATACTTTTTGCGAAATGCTGAATTCACGGTAATCAGAAAACATGTGTCCTGGAACGGACGTAAACCGCCAACCTCTGCCACATCGTAAAAGGCACTTCATGGATTAACGTTTTATGGACAGATAAGATGGAAAGGCTTTTAACAGCAATACCGGCAGGCGTCAGTTCATATTTTTTCCAGGCCATGCGTCTGCTGGGTTGCTATTCTAATAATATAATTTTTCAAGTCTCACAAGCATGCTGTCTCAAGAGTTGGCATTATGGTTTTAGAATGCTGACTTTGGAGCGCGTCGTCTTAAGTTGTGTTAACTAATCAGACAAGCACGCTAAGATGGTGCACGTGACATATTTCAATTCAAGACATTTGGTACTAAGAGGGGCGGGGCGATGACAACGCGACGATCAATACAGGAGGGTTTAAATAATGACCTGTGATGGCGGGCTTAGGACTGAGTCAACTAAAACTAAGTGGAAATGTTTACCGGCTAACTCGAGGTGCAACAACGAGGTTCATTTGTTGCACACAGTATTCTGCTGCACTGTGGGCACAGATAAGAGAAGATAGAGCTGGTACTGCCTTCAGCTCTCTGTAAATCTGCGTCATTTAAAAATCTTCCGTCTTAGATAACGCAAAGACTTTCTCATTTTAGTGCTCTACATTGATTCTGATTGCCAAAAACATGTCGGCGTTGAAAAAATAATATTCCTAGTCACCCAGTTCCATGCAGAAGCGCATTTCTGCAAATGGTCGTTTGGAGGTTTTTATTTAGCTCAGATAGGTCTTGTCACAATGTGTTTTAGTCAATCACTGAACATGGATGCTTACATTACTTTCATCGGAGGCATATGACATCTCTTTGATTGCTGAGATTGACGAATACACAAAGCCTTCGGATAATCAATCTGATCAGTAGACTATGTCCGAAACATTGTAATTCATAAGAGAAATGGGAACCGCTTACCATCCCAAATGACCGATTTCCTGCTAATGTATTTGTCGTTGAGAACACACTGTAAAGATTCCAATTTTGCTGCAGTATGTTCCAATTTGTGTGTGTAGATGGCGACGTCGTCAAAACTTTGGAGATCTTTAAGAGAACAGTATATAAAAAGACAAATGAGAGTTTGTAAGGCTGTGGACGTGCTCATTTTGCCCAGAAAATACGAATACATCCCTGCTGTTGAAGCGTTAATTAACGCCTCAATGGGCTTCTGTAATTAGGTTGATATTTGTAGTGTTAATAATTGCAATGATGAACTGTAAGGAGCATTTGTCTTACTGTATGCGAATACAAATAACTTTAGCTATTTCTCTAATGCTTTCGATATATGGACTGCGTTTAGGCGCAAAAAATTATAAGTTCGCTTTAATTTTAAAGGACATTATTAGAATAACGGTTTACGCATATCGTGTTTCGGCAGGCTAAGTTTGTCTAACGCTATACTTATTCGGGTGATATTTTTTGTGAACCATTTGAAAGAAATTGTAAGATATTTCGGTTCAATAATAAACTGAAAGTTATTGCTCTTGATACGGACTTACGGCATTTGTTTTCGCTGTCATTAAGAGAGCAAAGGATGCCCTGATCATCTTCACAGTAGAACTATATGGGTTGCAAAAACGTGAATGAAGTAACATTCATAATGATATTTTTGAGACAATTTCGTTGTTACATATGCAGTCCAACATCCCATCCTATAAACAGCCCAATATCTTATTAACTCTTTCTACCTCAATGCCTCCCTACTGATTATCAACGAAAATGCACCATGGTCGGACATTCAACGAGTAGCTGGCATTCCATTTTAAACGTCGGTTGTTTGCCTTAATTCAAGGAGTCTTAATTTTCCCACCCAGTCAGGAAACTGTTTATTACGGAAGCGTGTAAAAATGGGAGAAAAGTATGTGAGGAGCGGTGTTTTTGATGGTCTAGCAGTTGGAAGTTGATTTTGCCTAAGTACCCCTCAATGATTTTTATTTAAACTCACATTTGAAATCTTGTAGTTACTTGTGTCGATGATCCAGTAGAGTATTGCATACGGCCGAGTTCTGATTTTGTCAAAATCATGGTAGATAAAACGATCTAAAACGGCATTTGGAAACTCAGTTTCATCCAGGTTCATGAAACCATTTCGTGGATTTTATAAAAAAAGCCAGAATACTATTCAATCGGAATCAAATACAATGAATGGATGTAAGACAGAAAATTGGAAAGCTATGCAGACATGTTTGGAGACATAAGCATTGCAATTGGTTGCAATATCGCAGGTTATCTGCGAGCGATTCTCAAATACCAAGACCCAATTTAGTCGACCATGCAGTCCTTTTGCGACTCTATTAACGTGCCGGCTTTGCCATACAGCAGCCTGCCTATGCTATACACTCTCAGGTTCAGGCATTAGGGAAAACAGTCATCCTCGTCCTTTACATAAAATTGATCGGTTAAAGTCACATTCGAGGACTCAACATCTGCCTTATAATGTTTGGGATTGCAAAAGTTTCAGCAATACGAATACTACTCATTCACGTCATTTATTGCGGTTGTAAGAGAGTTTTGCTGGAATAAAGCCCTCTCTGGAGGTGGTTACTGTACAAGTGCAGAATATGTTCTGAGCTCTCCTCTCACTGGGAATAATGCTTGTCCGTATTCTGGTCCTATCTTAAGCATATCAGGTAATCTGATTACCCTGGATGGATTACAAGCGGAAGAATAGACGTTTCGACATTTGGGTAAAGAGAGGTCCTAGCGTTAGCAAAAGTATCACGCGGAATAAAGTAAATAAATTTTAAGTTTCACCTTCAGACATTGCGATGGCTGATTCTAAAATAAATAGGAATTTTCATTAAAAAACTATTCCAGGCAATTGTAAAATGACCTTTTTTAGATATCGAAAGGGTATCTATGACATTATCTCAATTCGGTACGGAAAAAGGCAGCCTATGATTACAAAAAAGGAATTAATAATTTTTGTTTCGCCTCCTTATCGATGGAACAAAATACGCAACCCGTTTGACCAACAACAGTTAATTAATTTGCAAAGGATAACGACAATTTTTGGCACATTATTACAAATTTATAAAGCGTACCGGGCATTGGCAGAACAAATTCTAAAAATTGGACATAAGATTCTGATAAACCCCCATATGTACTTCTCAAGGTTGGGTTAGCAAAATTCAGTTGGTGGTGAACATTAGTGAGAGTTTGTGTCGTTGGCATAGCATTTCTTGAAACAAAATCTATACGGAAGTGTTTAATTAATTAGATCTGGTGTATCATAAAAAACATCATTTTATTCCCGAATAGGTAAATAGGTTTATACTGAATACGCATTCATTACGGTGGCAAACAAGAAGCGTTGCTGTACTACCTGTCATATTCCTCATATTGTCACAGGGACCATAGTACTCCGTCATCGTCCGTTTCTTTTAGAAAAATTTGAAAATGTCATTTTTTCGGTAAAGAAAGCTTTAGTGTATAAACTAACTATTGGAGTTTCTTATTGGTAACGAAATACTCCCACATTTCGATTACTATTGATCATAAAACGGACAGTCAAAGCCTTGCATTTATTGGAGTCTAGGCGACGGTTTAGACAAAAATGTTTTAAGAAGTGCAGAAATAACACAAAATAACTTAGTATTTAGACTACTGACCCGTCTAATTAGACGCCAATTGCAATGATGTCCGGTAGAATTTTCTACAATGCAAGAATGTGAAAACGAACATTGTATTCATGCCCGATAGGTCAATGTTTCTTTAAAGACCGTGTGGTTGTGTGCTGCCAGTCGACGAAAATTCGAGCACTTACGAGATGGATTCACATTTAAGGCAATAAGAAGTCAAACACTGGTGCTGAGAATTCATGGTAGCCGCATATCGCATGAAATGTTAAACGAAGTTCTGGAGTATCTTTGATTAGACAAGAATACTTAAGTGGGATCGCAAAAGTAATTTTCACAGCGCACAACCCCAATATACTTCGGTCACAGCAGGGTGACGACCTTGAAACGAGACGCTTCTAGGTCGCTTGAAGATCGGCACGCCACAAAACGATCATTTTTGGTATGCCTTTTCCCAAATAGGACCAAATATTTTTATAAATTCAGACAGTTTCATAAAAAACCTTACAAAGCTACCCAATATTGGACAGGTTGAAGGCGAATTAGGTCGTACTAAAATTCTAATCTCGAGAAAATGTTAAATTTTGGCTTCAAAACCCTTACGTTTGTATCTATAGAGCATCGTACCTATACGTTTATTAATGCTGCCTTTAAACTATATAATATAGTTAACCTGCATTGTAATGTTTTATCAAATTTACATCTTGCCTTCTTAGTAGCTTAAAGGAATACGTGAGTTTTTGTGGAAAGTTTGCAGTTTGAGGATTAGGAGTTTGTCGCCGATTAGAAAGAGTTACTTAGGCGAGGACGCAATACGAATTACCATTTGGCATAATCTCATGATATTTTAACCACCTCTGGATGATGTCACTTTAATAGGTCACTTACGAAACCCGTAATCCATAAAATGGCCCACATGGACTTTGCATACTTAAAATACTTTTTACTTGTTATCGTAAATTCAAACATTTTCTACAGAAAATACGCACAGAAATACCCTCTACCGAATATGTATTGTTACGAAACCGGACTTCATAAAACATTATGCTAAAGGAAATTAAAATTTGTGGTTTTTTAAAAGTATGTCACTATACATTTCGAAACCCTAAATGTTCAAACAAAAGGCCTTTTAACTGTGCATTAATTATTGCTGCTGAAAAAGTACACAACACAGCCTGCTAACGCTGGACAGTATGCAAACTCCCCGTGGTATCTCCTTAATAGCTAGGGACTGAAAAACATAGTCGGAAAGTGCAAATTCAAGTCAATCCTAAGATTATTCTGCGACTAAATATGATTTCCAAACGGAAAATGGCTTCTCCTAAAGACAATCATTGTATATGACAAAGTTTTCTACTGAGAACATGGCGAAATTTATGTCGTCAAAGGTTTACGTGAAAAATCCATTCTGTATGAGAAACTTTTGTTACCGCGTACGGTATTTGCAGGCGGCCGCAATATCTTACTCGAATGCCGTCATCTTGAAGTGACTAAAATAACTTCAGATTATTTCGCATTTAAATCATTAGTGAATTTTCACCTATATAATTATTTCTTATTTAAGTACCATTTGAAAAATACGAGGAACATTTCATGAAGAAGCCAGCTACTGTATTTATTTAAGTCATTTGTTAATGTAACTCTTAGTGGTTCACCTGCATCGTGGCCCTCGGCTGTTTCCAAATTAAAAGCACCTGGAAAGGGAATATTTGACCTTAAACCAGACCCACATTTTCAGAAGGACGACTCATCTTGAAACATTACTAAAAATAAACTACTTACCCGTGTGATGCAAAGTGTCAGGGAATTGTTCTACACCTTCTTCTTTGTCCAACGAGGTCGCGTCAATGTCTAGTTCTGACAAAATAATTAAACGGACTATTACGATAAAGGCTTTTCTATGACTACGCAAAATAAGGACGCTTACTATCCGTGCACTGCGCAGTGATCTTCAAGTATGGGAGGCGAAAGTTAACACTGTGTTCCTGTTTGTGGAACGGATACGATTTCGGTGACTTTGTATCGCCAGAGGATTGCATTCTTCGGCGTTTAGCATCCGAACAACAACTTGTGCGCTATCAAGATGAACTGTTTGACTCATGTTTTAAGGACTCACGAGTAAAAGCGTCTTCCCGTGTCGTAGTAAATAATGCATAGTATTGATCATTAATAGTCATGAACGAGGTTAATGATATGGTTTTGGGGTGGAATTAGCATTACGTCTGCCTTTTAATAATGCAACACTTAGCGGCTCACCCAAATCGTGGTAGTAAGCAGTTTCCGCATTGGAAGGGCCTAGAGAAGAGACATGTAGCAATAATATGGACCTGATTCGTTTAGAGAGTGACGATTTATATTGGAAGCTAGTTGTGAAAAACTGATTACTGACCGGTTGGATGCAGATGGTTAGAAAATGGTTCTGCGACGTCCTCTTCATTTAACTGGCACAAATCGCTGTCTACTTCTCATTAAAAAATAAACAAACAATGTCACAGTTACTTTGCCTTATTTAAACAAAATGTGTTTTAATGACTTAAAATCTGGCGATTGCAGTACAAGACCATGCAGTTGTAGTAGATAAATGTGGAATTGGCGCCTTATTTATGCACATTAAGAATATTTAATGATTTTATTCACCCAATATGCTATAATTACCTTTTCTAGCGAGAGGCTTTGCAGTGATCTTAGGATGTGCGGCCCACATTTGGTTAATTACTCGCAGAAACAAATTTGCACCGAATATATTTAAGTTAAATACCTAGCCCGAACTCCCGATTCAAACGAGTCAGCCGCTCCTATTTGTTTCAAATTATCCACAGAAAAATGGAGAATTTAATCCGTCCTTTTTCCCGGAGTTCTCTAAATTGTTTTTGTTTTTGACAAAGGCGTATTCTAACTTGACGGTTAAACATAAGAAAATAAGCGATCGAATGCGGTAGGCGCACCTTGAAGAAGTTGTTTGTCGAAAAAACAAACTTCTTATTCTGCCACTGATGTCGACACGTTTTTAAGAAGCGTTGGTGTTGGACAGCCCTTTTCGGCCAATTAATTTATTTTTACCCAGCGGTGTGCCATAATCAAACAACCAGTCGCAAATTGATCCTTGCACTGTGTAGAACCCCAAAATGTCTTGTTTTATTCCAGTCAATTTTCCAGAGACACTAAGTTGTAGTTGCTCCACTATAGAACAGCCAGTACACCAGAACCCTGCGATACATCCATCCCGTACATTTCCCGCACTACCTACGACGATGTGCCCCAAAACAGACCTTTGATGGAAGAGTGAATTTAATCTATTGCTGCATTTTTGGAATGCCATCGACTTCCAATAACAAAAACCAGTGTGCACTACAGGCAGCAACAGTCATCGTCAATTAGATCAGATCTAGACTCACGCTTAACCGTTAGGATGATAGTCATTGCAGCACACGGGTGGCATAACAAAAGTGCTTAGGCACCAATCAGGGCAATCAAACTAACATGCAGGCCATTTCAATCATTTTTCCTGAAAAA